TCCGCTGCACCGCCACACCAATATTTGGAAATATTCCCGCCTCAGGAAGGGTAATTGTTGTGGTGGATTGAACACGTTATCAGCCACAACAGGAAGCCTCCAAAAAGAGGCCTCTCCATGAAGACATTTGTGCTCTCACTTAATTAACCCAATGGCATTTGGTTCCAGCAAAGCTGTTCTGCTACATAATAACAAGAAAAATTAGATATTAGTGAAGATCTGGGAAGAGATGAATACACATCTGCTTATATTTGCCCTCCTGGCATGACCATGGTTGCCCTTTAGGACTAGAATTACAATGTAGAGGTTTGTACATTTTGATGAAAAAACCCTCCTATCTTCTCCTAATTGAAAATGTAGAAAGACTTAATGGAGAGAGACTGAACTTGTAAATGCTTTGGGTTTGTGTTCCTATTGCAGGAGCTGTTGTGTGTATGTACCAATTATAAATATATATCTGCTTTTACAGTGACAGACTATTTTAAGGTGGCTCAGACAGTTATTGGTACCAAACTGCTTGATAATGAATGTCTGGAAAACTGTGATGACAGATCAAAGGATCAGCATTTTAGGTTTCCATTCCTGATGTATCTAGTTTAGATTGACTGTAAATAAAGTTCTAGTCAAGTTCCAAATGAGCAAGGCAGGGTCTTGCAGGGTAGGGTAGCATTATCTTGGGAATCCTGCTGAAACATCCTTCTGGAGGGGGCTGATCTGTGAGAATTGTGGAGAGATTTGTAAGCCTTGATTTGTAGTGAAAATTGCCTAAAGCAATATTAATTGAATATGCATCTCTCTGATAAACATACTGTACTTCTGAAACTGTTGTTGACAACATGACAACAAATGAACGCGGAGAAAGAGAATCCTGGAGCGAGAGGCAGACTGGCAGCTGAGGAATTCCACTGGGAAGTGGGGAGTTTGCCATCCCATCTGTGAACAGCTGCACCCATGGGGTGGGTCAGGGGGACACTGTTCGTGTGCAGAGGGGTTGGGCTCTGCATTTGTGACACAGGGAAAGGTGGAAGAAGATGAAAAGTGATGGTAACAAAATAAATATGTGAAAAAGGAGGAATCTGATCCAAAGGAGAGCAGTAAGTTAGGAGATGGCCCCCAGCCTGGTGTGTGTTCTTGCACCTCTGGGATGCTTGAGCCACTTGCTGGCAGGTTCCCTGCAGGGCAGGGTGAGCAGAGGGGCTGCAAACACTGCAGACCTTGTCTCCTGCTTGCAAAGAAATGAATCTGCTGAGTGAAAGCAGAATATTCCTTCTCTGATCTCTCTGTTTTGCAAAGTATCCAACAGCTTCCATATGGAGAAACTCCCTGCTAGATTAAACCACTGCACAGACTGTGGCTGGGGATGGCCCAGAGTAACAAACTCAGTGAATGTGACAAAAGGAGTAGGGCAATCCTATGTGTTCTCTCCTCTGGAGTGACAGCTCAAGACTTTCTACTTGGAGGGACAGGCACTTGTGGGTTAAACTGAAAAAACCTACTGAAGGACAGTGATTTTCAGCAATTAAAGGGTCACATGTTGCTCTTGACCATGTAAGGGTTCTTTGTGAAGGACTGGTTAAAAGGACAGGAGTTGTGGGTTGTGGTTTAATGTTATGGATTAGTCTGTTACAGTTTATTTCCTGTTTAGGTTGTTTTTTTTTCTGGTTGCTTTTCTCATGTGTGGTCTTCACTCAGCAGAGCTTATCTCATCTGCTGAGGGCTCCTTTTCAGCTGGTTGTAGAGAAGTTCTTTGGGTACATATTCCCTTGCTCCGAGGATCTTGAATGATACTTGTATCTGAATTACATGAAATATGGAGTTGAGAAGAATGCATTTATAAAGATTTAGGTTTCATGCTCCTTTAAATTTGCAGGGGCTTGGTTGCACTGGTCTCCATGCAGTCTTCTAGAAAATATATAGTTTGGAAATAAGGACAGAGAAATCCAAGCCTATGCACTGCACTTGAGTGACGACTGTACTTACTCTCCCTGTTCCTTCTGCCTTTGTACAGATGTGTGTGCTGTAAGAGTTATTTATAGGATTCATTTAAATTCCACATTTTTCCCAGCGCATTTTCCACCTTCTTTTTCACAGTACTTACTTGTAAAATCAATACTCTCAAACAGCTTTACTTTTTAAACTCCCCCTACCTTCCTTTAAAGCTGTCTTAGAGGGCTCCATGTGTTTCCATGGAGCCACTTTTTAAGCAGATACAAACAAACTCCAGCACAAAAGTTCATTTTGGAGGAAAGCCGTTGCATACTATGAAGAGCCTAATCATGCTTGGCTGCTGCAGGTGCAGAGTTTAAAATGGAATTGTCAATATTCAAAACCTCTGGTGTATGTTTTTGTTGCAGATATGGGTTCTACACCACAGCTTGATAAAATATCCTGGGAAAAAGACTTCACAATCTACTACAGATTTGTTTTTAATACCTCTTTTCTTTCATATGCTGTTCCACAGCACCTAAGTAACAGAATTATTGTTATTATTGAAGCACCTAAGCACAGGTTCCTGTCTACAGGAACAGGTTTCTGTGTCCATCTTAAACAACTTGACAACCTTGAGGGTTTAGAATTATTGGGCAGCCTGTGGCATTCACTGAGCAGATGTGAAAGGGAAGATACTGGTTAGACTGGGAGCTGAGACCCCAGAGAAATGTTTTTAAGTATTTTAAATTTAAATGAGAAGAATTAAACAAATGGAGGCAGATCTTGCTCTGCTGAGACCAGTGCTGGGCTCCCTGACCAGCCTGCATTTCACTCACTCCAGGCACTGCTTTGGATCCCGAGTTTCCAGGGAGTGCTGAGCAGGTTGACAGAAATCCCTTTCCTTTCGGAGTTTCCCTCCCTTGTGTGTGTGTGGCACTGCCACAGGTCCCTGGGGATGGCACTGCCACAGGTCCCTGGGGATGGCACTGCAGAGGTGTCATTGTTCCTCTCTCAGACCTCCCCAGCTGTTGTGTGGAGTGAGTTTTAATCAAGTCCCTCCTGGCTCTGTCGATGTTTCTGTTGTGATAATCCGGGCAGGTTGGGGACCATGAACAAGATAAGGAGTTAGTGATCAGAGCCAGGACACTTGGCTGGGCCTGCTGGGTTCTGTCTTTGCTCTCTTTTGGCTCAGCTTTCAAAAAGGCAGCAGCATGACCAGCTTTGTGTTTGCACTCAGAACGAGATCTGTGTCCCTCCCTTTTAAAGCTTTCCATTTCTGTAACACCTTTTGTCCCCAACTTCAAAATTCTTTGCAAAAACAGTGAATTAAACCTCACAGCAAACCTGTGCTGTAGAGAAATGTGAGATCTAATATTTGTGATCCCTTTTCACAGTAGTTAGAAAAAAAGCCCCCATGTTAAAGTCAGATTTTCAGCTGAGTGTACTCCCTGTTCAGACCCAAAACACTTGACCACAACTGTGCCACAGAAATGGCTGGGGAGGGAAATTTATCTTGCATTTCAATCTGAGCCAAGCTCATTTTAAAATCCCCATAGGTCAAAGGCATGTGAGGAAAATGTACCTAAAGCTGGAAAAACAATGAGGTAACATCATTCATTAAGATCACATGAATATTAATGATGAAGGATAAACGGTATTTGGAGGTTTCTGTGCAAAGAGGTTTATTCTAAATATGGTGCAGGAGATCCTTAACTGCTGCTCCTCTGTTGAATGACAGTGGAACTGGCTTAGTTTACACTTCCTTAAGGTTTGACCTCTTCTGTTCAGCAATTCCCACATAATTGAGGAATAGTCACCAAACTGAATTTGACTCATAACAGAACCAAGATTTGTCTTTTGATTTCAGATTTACCAAAACAGTGGCTTGACACTTTCTTCACTTCACTACAGATATGTGAGCTGTATTCACAGTTGTTCCTCAGTGTGGGTTTGATTTCAACAATTCTGGAATTCAGAGCTTGTCAAGCTCCTTTGTGTTTTGACTTAATCTTTTACAGGAGGATCTCATGGATTTATAGCTTGACTTTGTCTTAAAAATATTTTCTATTTTTCACTTTTTCAGAATTTCCTTTACTAATGCCCCTACCAAGAAAAGAAAGCAAATAGTGGGATTCTTACAGCTCCTTATAGCATAACACTGGGAAAACTTCAAAGCACACAGAAGTGATTAGCCTTGGTCTTTTTTATCTTCTTTTTTCTCTCTCTTTTTTTTTCCTCCCTCCCCACATTTAAAATTGTATTTATAGTTGCTTCTGATTCTCATGTTACTTTCTTCTTCAAGCTGCCAAAAGTCTTCAACTGTGGTGTTGGAGATTCAATGGCAACTTTCTGGCAAACATCACAGAGCTTTGTTTTCAATGAAGGATCAAATCTAGTCTCTGGTTAACAGGACAATCTCTTTACTTGCACCATCATTTATGCTCATAGTTCTTGGATTTGTTGTCATTTGCACATGGAAACATAACATTTGCATATGCAAATAGTGCATTTGAGTGTCTCGTGCTTTCAAAACAATACACAAGGTACAACACCCACAGTGGTCTGAAGAGCAAACAGAATCAGACTAGTACCTGGTGAAGATAAAAATAGGATAATTATGCCAAATACTCTGATAGAATCAAACCATTATTTTAAATCTCTGTTGTCAGCAGGGTCAACCATAAAACCCTTCTGTGCTGTTCCACTGGCCCCAGTCCATCCCTCACGTAGTTCTGTCTGGGAGGAGACAGAACTGACACTGAACTAACAGCCTGGCTGGGCATCAAAGTGTTTCAGAACAGCCCTGCTGATTGTGCTGATTCAAAGAATTAATTATTTTGCATTTGCTAAAATCAAAGCAAGTTATGACAGTAATGAGAACAGGAAAGAGGAGAAGAGGAAAGCAGAGGGTAGTAGGAGCAGTGGACATCAGCACTGGTGTTGGTTACCCCACACCACAGGAATTGCTCCCTCAGACTCTCTCAGAAGTGCACAGACTGTGCACAGAATGGCTCTGCAAAGGGGGCTTTGATCTCCTCGATGATCTGACCTGTTTGCTGTGTTTTAAGCAGGCAGTGGAAACACAGGACGTGAGACATCAGAGGCAGATGATAGGAAATGGTCTCGGAGCAGCAACCTGGGGAGAACACAGATATGCCCAAACGTGCCAGAAGTCTGTCTGAGACAAAAGCTGAGCTCCACGTGTCCTTCCATTAAGATGTATTGAAATATTGCAGGTCAGGATTTTTGTAACACAGGGTGAGAACAAACTTCTCTGCTTGCTTCCTCCTCTCCTGCCCTGATGACCTGGAGAGGAACTTTGTTGCAGAGAGCAGAATTCTGAAGGGAAATTCATGTAGAACATGGTAAGGGGCTCAGAGGGGATCTTGGGTGCACTGGACTCTGGGCAGCTTATCTTGAATTTCCATGGGCAGATAAGATAGGGGAACAGTTTTAAACTAAAGAGGAGAGATTTAGATCAGACTTTAGGAGAAAATTCTTTACTGTGAGAAGGTTGAGTCACTAGAACAGATTGCCCAGAGAAGCTGTGGGTGCCTTGTAAGGCCAGGTTGGACAGGGTTTGGAGCAACCTGGTCTAGTGGAAAGTGTCCCTGCCCATGGCAGGGGGTTGGAACCAGATGGTCTTTAAGGTTCCTTCCAACCCAAACCATTCCATGATTCTATGAATTATTCTGCAAGGAACAGGTCACATCTGATCAGAGAGAAGGGACCACAGTCACTGACTGATCCATGCTCATGTTGAAGTGTTTTGGCAGCTTGTGGCTCTGCTCAGTAAATCCCCCAAAGTACAGCTGTGGTTACAGGGAGGCATCAGCCTGGATACATCCCTTTGGGTTCTCTCAGTCTCTGTGAGCCTGGCAAAGCCCTCAGCCTGCCTTTCCTGTGTGCACCACACCACAGGCCACAAAACCCTTCCCAGCACTGCAGATCAACAGGGAAAGAGCAAAAGCCACAAAGCACAACGTGCCTCAGGAAGGGAGGAGAGGAGATCAAGGGCAGTGCCAACGTGAATGAGATGTCCATGAAAGAGCGGCGTCAGCGCTCGGCTGCCACGGATTAAAGGAACAATTGAGCAGGAGAATCAAAAGGCAGTGCCAAGAGGAAGAGCAAATGTGGAGGAGGGAAGAGGGTTCCTCTGGTTAAACCATTCCAGTCACGTTCCTGGCGCCCAGGCAGGAAAGCACAGCTGCTTCACATCTGCTGCAGAGCACTGGAGCTGAACAGGCACTAACACAAGGATTCTCAGCCTGTTCAGATGAGGTTTTTTGTTTGCTCTGGTATGGATACAATACTTTTTGTAATTAGTAACATGGAAAACTATTTTCTAATGCCACTGCAATAGCTGATTTGGCTTATAAATGTTTTCTCTCAAAGGTCAGGCCCATAGGGACTTACAAAGGCTAATTTTGTCACTAGAGTGTCAGACCTGATGCCCACCCTGAGAGACACAATAACCACTGAATTACACAATTGAAGTGTTTTATGCTTGTGTCCACAAAAAACTCTGACAATTTTCTTTCATGTAGCATCTTGATTATATTTCAAGCTGTAAATCTCCCCAAGTGTTTTAGGGCTTTGTGCCTAAAATGAGGCCCATATCCCTGGATACCAATGCAGTACAGAGATAACAATAATAATACAAGATTTCTTTACCTGATTTATAGTCTGTGATGCATATTTTGAGTATGGCACTGAAGCCTCCAGTTCAGCTAACAAGAGAGAAGTACATAGACATGCAACACAAACAAATCCTAAATCCTAGCTCAGCATCTCTGGATCCAACACCCAGCAACAGCCAGGAGGTAACAGGAACTAATAAACATATAAATTGATGTGATTGACTTAAATTAACCCATTCACTGACACTAGTGTTAGAGGGATCATATGTTTCAAACTCAGTCTCACTCTTTGTGTGCAAGTGAAGCTTCAGCTGGCATTGATAAGTATTTTGCCTGTGTGAGTTACATGAATGAAGGCTTTAAAAGATAAGGAAAATACCAAATTGAAGAGAGATTGTGTTATACAAACTAAAACCTGGGACAGACCCCAAGCCCAGCTCCCGGGAAGAGTTTGAATCTGGGATTTTAGACTCACTGCTATCAGCAGGAACAGCTTTGAGTCCTCTGCTGCTCCTCTCGTTCAGGAAGGTTCGTTTAGTTTCATATGAGCTGATAATACACCTGTGTGGGTGACAAGAACTGCAACTGTGATAATTAAGGCAGAGAACAGCAGTGTGTTCTTCAGTTTAGCTCCACACTGGGACTGTGAGTTTGGGATGTCACAGAGCTGTCTGCACCTCACACACAAGCACTGGTGGATGCCTGAGTCTTTCAGACAAGCACACGAAAGATTTGACATTTCCCAATGGCCTTATGAATATTTAAAGCTGGAAGACCATATTGTTAACATTACTTGGAGTAGCAGACTGGTGTTTACTTTGAAGGTTTGGGACATGTTTTGGGGCTCTGTGTGTGCAGGTAGAACTGTAAAACAGGGAGTTCTGATCAAGTGGAGCCACTTTCTGTGTTTGTTGTAGCTTTAACTGCGTCTCAGCCATATGCCTTGTGCAGCATGTTGAACAAACACCTTTTTTTATAGTTCTTATATCTCAGGGGAAACACTGACAGGGCCACAGCAAACTGCTCATTCAACTAAATGTCGGTGAGGAGGCTGCAATGGATCAGTCTTTTGGAAAAGATTCAATGCCACTGTCTAGACAGAGGCAAGAAACAAGGGCTCCCTTTCCCCTCATCCCCTTGGAGCCTCATCACAGAGCTGTGCAAGTCTGCTAATTAATCTGGAGTTTTGCACTTCACCCTTAGGAGTTGCTTACTTAAAAAAAGTAGGTCATTTGATTGACATGTATTCTTCAGCATCCTAATCTCCAGTGAGAAACGATGAAAAATGAGCTGTGCTGCAGGCAGACTAAACTGAGGGCTGCACAGAAACTGAGTGTTGGATTACATAAAAGGTTTAATAAGCCATAAACCACCAATCCCACATTAGGAGGAATAGGAATAAGGAGGAATAGTGCAGAAAGCCACACTTCTGCTGTGGTTGACAGAGACTGCTGTTATTTGCTGGACAACTTCCACTCGGTCTGATGGAACACCAGGCTTCAAATAGTGGGTGTGTTTCGTTGGTGGCCTGTGACACTGGGGCCAGGCAAGAAATGAAGAAAACAAGGATAATACCTGGACATAGAAAGGTTTTGGTTGGGGAATGGAGCTCAGAACTGCAAATGGTTTCTTACTAAGACACAGATTGCCCAGTTATCCCAAGAAACCAAAGGAGGAAGGTCAGTGGATGTTTCCAAGAATTGGGTAATATCCAAGAACTGATTGTTTTTGTACATTTAGAGACAGGCCTGGTAGAACTGTGCACTAATTGTGCACTAATTGTGTTTTAGGAGGTGTTGATGGAGTCCTGTTTGTATCCTGACTGCTCAGACACTCCCAAAGTTATCCAGGGGAAGGACTATGAGAGAGTGACTCTGAAGCAGCATCAGAGATCTCTTCATAACAGAGTGAGATGCCCAGATGAGATTCTCCATCATTTCCACTGAGACTGTATCCATCATTTTCACTGTATTATAGTACAGAAAAGGAATGGTGAATGTGCTCTAGAAGCTGCAGGAAACTCCCATTAAAAGGTGTATAGTTCCCATCCTCTCATGAGGGACAGCTGGAGATTCCAATTCAAAGTGAGTCACATTTGTCCCTCAGTGCTGATGGAAAGGACATTAATCCTTTCCTTACCTGCCACATGTAGACACACCTGCACTCATGGAGCTGAACATCAGCAGAGAGGTCAGGGAAACCAAGATGTGAATATAGACTTTTAACTGAATATTTCAGTGAGAACTTCTCCTGAAAGAGGATAAAATGATCAGCAGTAAAACAACTGACTAACATTCTTCTCTTTTCTGTCATGGGGATGTTGATCACCTGGTTGCTAAATAACCAAGACTGTGTTAAGCTAAGGACTCCAAAGACTATTTGAGCAACTTGAGGTTTTTTCAAGGTGGTTTAGGGGAAGTATGTAGTGAAATTCTCAATGGAGATTGGCAGGCATTTGTGAGAACTGTTGAACCAAGAGTGTGGAAAGACAAAGAGAACAAAATGGCTTACCCAGTGACTAATTTGCACACCAAGACTTTAGTTTGTGCATTCCTGGTGTGTGTTGCACACACATCTGTGCAGTCCAGAACATCCTGACCTGAAGAGCATTGGAGCAGCATTAGATCTTCCCTCTACTTTTGGTAGCTGTGTTCCAGCCATCAGGTCTATTATTGTATGGACTATGGAGTGGCCAACATGTTCAGAAATTCCTGTTCCTTTGGGATGCTCCCATTTGTGAATGCTCTTTTTCCCACAGCCTGATTTTCAGAAAATAGGAGCCAGGCTTTTGTGGAAAGAAAGGACTCTCAAGTCACCCCAGACTGTATACTCAGAAATAAACTGTGAGTCACTTAAAAATTTAATTTAGTATTTTTATAAGAGGTTTTTTTTTTAAATCTAACAATATTGATATTATTAAATTTATACCAAATGTGTATTTGGAAGTATTTCTCACTGATTAGTATAGAGACATCTTGGGTGTCACAGTGAATTCATGAGCGTCTGGTTTTCATTGTAGTGAGAAAGGATTCAAGTGAGACTATTCACCAGTAAGGGCTGAGCATCTGGGGTGAGGGGGGATCCAGGGTTCTCTCAGTGTTTCCTCTTGAATGACTCCATGCCTAGAGGTTTAATATCTAACAGAACCTTTCCTCCTCCTAATGCCAAAACACAAAATTACTTGCAAGGTAGATTTTGTTCTGGAAATCTGTTTCTGAGGTTGGTTTCTAAGGTGGCATTATGAGGTGCTGTAGTAGCTTGTGGCCTGTGTGGGGCTATTTTTGAAACTACTGAAGAGAGTTGAAAGAAGACAACAGGGCAGTAAGGAAAAACCTCTTTCCTCTGCATATTCTGCTGTTTCTTCACCTTTCCTTGGGTGATTTTGTCTGCATCTGTGTATTTAGTGTAAATTCGTAATATTATGAGGAAGAGTTATAAAATTATTTGCATTAGCAAATGAACTTCATGTCCTTTGGGAACATAAAAGTCCTGGCTCTCAGTCTGTACTAATGCAGGGTTTAAAACAAATGCAACCTGGCTCCAAACAAACCTAAGGCCTGGGTGTGTCCACGGGCACTGATTCTCCATGACCTTCCTTTCTTTCCCTAAAATCTCCATGCCCTTCCTGTACTCTTCCATAGACCTTGTCTGATATTTCTCTTCTGCCTTCAGAATAATACTTCCTTGGAAGGTTTAGTCAGCTCATGTTTGAGAAGTGTTTGAGATCCTTGAGGAGAGGTCGGCACTGCAAGGAGCTGAGCTCTGGTGACACGACTGCAAAATTTAAAGGGGGAAAAAAAAAGGTATAACTATGGCACAGCTAAAAATAGAGCCTGAAATTCCTCCTCGTTCTCAAGCCATATAAGGATCTGTGCATGGCTGTGTAAGGCAGGATCTTCATGCAAAAAGAGATGGAGTTTTGGCTGATTTACCATGGGAAGCATCATGTTCCTGTGTTTCCTTTGTGGAGCTAAATCAGAATTTTAAAGCTGTCAGAAGGCTGCTCTTTAAATTAGAGTAATTTATTGGCGTGTGTGCCCAAGAACAGCTACAAATGTAAACACAGGCACTCCCTTGGCTCTACCCACTGCACTTTTCCAGATCACTTCCAAGTGGAAGAGAAGTCTAAAGATGAATGAGGCAAAATTTCTCTGCCACTGACAATCAGAGGATTAATTCCTCTGCTCTAGTACCTCTAAACTGTAGACCAGAGCCTGGTCTTTGTCAAGAATTTCCAGGGACATTGCTGGCACTTCCAGGCAGGAAAAATACCTGGAGTTTCATGTGACAGAATGGTGAGTGAACTCGACCTGGCAAATCTTGCAGGACTGTTTGGTAGCAATCCCTGCCAGTGTAAAATGGCAAACACCCACTGCAAGGTTCCCTAGAGTGGTTCTAGGACTCCCATCTGGTGATCCAAGGTTCCCTATTTTTTGGTGATGTTGGATGGAAAAGGTGCTCCAAGATGTTAAGGAAGAGAAAGAGAAGTTCAGTTAAAGAAATCTCCTCCTGCTGTTGGCAAAGAAACATCGTAGAATTCATTTTGTAAATGTGCAGGTTTTGTTTACACCAATTTTGGGCCTGATTTGTATTTGGACTGAGGTCCAAACCACAGTCACATAATCTCTTTTTGCCACCCAATTTGTTCTCAAATGCAAAACAAATAAACAAGACCCCCAAAGAAGACCCAGCTACATCTCCAGTTTCTGTATCCCATTTCCTATTTTTCTGCATTTGGAACAGCGAGTGCTCATCCCCACACAGACCAGGCTCCATGGGCTCCATGTGCTCTGTGGGTTTTCCTGCACTGCTCCCATTCCTGTCTGTCTCCTGTGTCCTCTCTTCATTGCTGTTTTGGATTAGCCCCAGCACAGAGCTGGGGATGGTTGTCATATGTTGTGTATCAGCTTAATAGTTCATCCTGCCTTTCATCAGCTCCTCGTCTGTCCCACACCACGGGTCACTGGCATTCTTTTGAGGCACCAGTTTGCCTTTGCTGCTCCTTTTCCTTACCCATCCATAGGATTCCACTTGGTTTCCAAAGATCTCTGTCATTTTAACGCAACAAACCCAGAGCTACTTTGGATGGGTGGTTTGCTGTGGGGTATGGAGGTACCTGTGTATCAGCATTTGATATCCAAGAGAGGAAGGCAGTGGT